ATGCATATTGGGGATGAGTGGAAAACAGCTTTTAAAACCAAGTATGGTCTTTATGAATGGTTGGTTATGCCTTTTGGATTAACTAATGCACCTAGTACATTCATGAGACTAATGAATCATGTCTTACGAGAATACTTAGGTAAGTTTGTGGTTGTTTATTTTGATGACATCCTTGTTTACTCTAAATCTTTAGATGATCATATTACCTATGTACGCAATGTTTTGACTACTTTAAGAAACGAATGTTTGTACGTAAATTTAAAGAAATGTAGCTTTTGCATGGAAAAAGTTAACTTTCTTGGGTTTGTAGTTTCATCTAATGGTGTTGAGGTTGATGAGGAGAAAGTGAAGGCTATAAAAGATTGGCCTACTCCGAAAAATGTAAGTGAGGTAAGAAGTTTTCATGGTCTTGCAAGTTTCTACCGTAGGTTCATTAAAAATTTTAGTACAATTGCTTCACCCTTGAATGAACTTGTTAAGAAAAATGTATCCTTTATATGGGAAAAAGATCAAGAACTTGCTTTTAATACTTTGAAAGAAAAATTGAGTTCTGCTCCCTTGCTTGCATTACCTAATTTTGAGTCTACTTTTGAAATTGAATGTGATGCTAGAGGAGTAGGGATAGGTGCTGTATTAATGCAAAATCAAAGACCTTTAATGTTCTTTAGTGAGAAGTTGACTGGTGCATCTTTGAGGTATCCAACTTATGACAAGGAGCTTTATGCTTTGGTTCGTGCATTGCAAACCTGGCAACATTATCTTTGGCCTAAGGAGTTCATTATTCATACGGATCATGAAAGCTTAAAGCATTTGAGAGTACAAAATAAACTCAACAGACGACATGCTAAGTGGTTAGAATTTATTGAAACATTCCCATATGTCATAAAATATAAACAAGGTAAGGAGAACATTGTAGCAGATGCTTTATCACGAAGGTATGTCCTCCTCTATACTTTGAATGCTAGGTTGTTGGATTTTGAACACAAAGGATTTGTATCAACATGACATGTTCTTTGCGCCTTTTGTTGAATCTTGTGAAAAAGGACTCATTGTGGATAATTACTTGTTGTTAGATGGATTTTTGTTCCGAAAAGGCAAACTTTGCATACCATCTTGTTCCATCCGTGAGCTACTTGTGAGGGAAGCTCATGGAGGTGGTTTAATGGCACACCATGGAGTTTCTAAAACTTATGATATGCTCTCTGAACATTTTTTTTGGCCTAAAATGAGACATGATGTTCATAAAGTTTGTGCTCGTTGTATAGCATGTAAACAAGCTAAGTCTAGGCTTCAACCACATGGTTTATACTCCCCATTACCGGTTCCTAATGGTCCTTGGATTGATATATTAATGGATTTTGTTTTAGGTTTACCTAGGACTAGGAAAGGTTATGATAGCATCTTTGTTGTGGTTGATCGATTTAGTAAAATGGCTCATTTTATTCCTTGTCACAAAACTGATGATGCAAAACATATTGCAGGCCGTTCTTTAGGGAAGTTGAACGATTGCATGGCATTCCTAAAAGCATCGTTAGTGATCGTGATGTAAAATTTTTAAGCCACTTTTGACGTATTTTATGGGGTAAGTTAGGAACTAAGCTAATATATTCAACTACTTGATATCCTCAAATGGATGGACAAACTGAAGTTGTTAACAGAACCATGACTGCTATGCTTAGGGCTATTATTGATAAGAATCTTAAGACTTCCGAGGATTGTTTGCCATTTATAGAATTTGCATATAATAGGGTTGTTCATAGCACTACTGAATGCACATCTTTTGAAATTGTTTATGGCTTTAATCTTTTAACCCCCATTGACTTGTTACCCATACCGTCAAAAGAGTTCGTGAATTTGGATGCAAATGCCAAGGTTGAGTTTGTTCATAAATTGCACAAGAAAGTGAAAGAACAAATTGAGAAACAAAATTCCAAGGTTGCCACCCGAATTAATAAAGGACGTAAGATTGTCATTTTCAAGCCAGGAGATTGGGTTTTGGTGCATTTCCGAAAATAAAGATTTCCTACTCAAAGAAAATCTAAGCTTTTACCACGAGGAGATGGACCTTTTCAAGTTCTTGAGCTTATCAACGACAATGCTTATAAAATTGATTTACCAGGTAAGTACAGTGTTAGTACAACTTTTAATGTTGTTGATTTCAGTCCTTTTGATGTAGGTGTTGGTTTGGATTCGAGGAAAAATCCTTCTCAAGAGGGGGAGAATGATAACCACGACCAAGAAATTTCCATACCTCAAGGTCCAATTACAAGGACGAGAGCCAAGAAGCTACAACAAACCTTATACAGTTATATTCAAGCTATGGTGAGCTCATCAAAAGAAATTCTAGAAGACGCTGGAGACCTCCCTTATATGTTGTGCAATGTTGAGGTTCAAGAAAGAGATGAATTAAATGCCCTTTAAGTTGCATTTAATGAACTCCGCTAAATTTATGAAACTATTCCAAGGATGACTAATAAGCACATTTTATTAATGGCATTATTTAATTATAGTTTAACTATTTGTTTGTCATATTTAAGCTAGTTTTAAATATAGGAGTACTAAGTGCACACCATTAACCATTTTAATAGGGAGGTTATGAATATTTCTCATTTACTCGCCTATTTAATTTGGGAGTTATGTATGATATAGGTTACGGATGTAAAGGCTATATAAAGCCTTCTTTTCTATGATTAGACATCAGATTTTGGAATTAAGAATAGAATTTCTATTTTAGCTTTGTTGAGAGCTAAACTTTCTTTGCAATTTTTGTGTTTAGAACTTGCCTGTAGAGTCATTCAAGTGGTATTGATCAAACCTCTTGTGGAGTGATTCGAATCACGAGTTTAGAAACGAGTTTTCTTTACTCTTGATCTTGATCATCAAGGTAATCCGTTCCATACTTTCCCTTGGGTTGATTTCCATATCACTCAGTGTTACAAAGAAATTTGAGGAAATAACATTTTTTTAGATGTTTATGCACAAATAGTAAGAGGAAGCTTTGAGGTTGTATGAGCAAAGTGGTCAATGCTTAGATACTTTAGCAAGATTTAGAGTTTATGACTTAAAAGATAAAGTAATACATATAGACGAATCAAGTCATGATCTACTTAAAGGAAGAAACTAAATCACCGGGAAGAAATTAGGAAGGTTTGAATTAAGGTTGAATGTTATATCTAAGTTATTCCAACATTAATTCCAACACGAGATCTGATCCTTGAATCTACTTGAATTTTTTTAGATTATGGCCAGAACAACTTGGCAGAGTTAAGGTAGACCGAGACATAGACACATGAGCTACTAAGTAAGGACTTCACACTCCTTAACATTTGTTTTAGAGAGCAATAGCTCTAGTCAATAAGAGGAAAGAATGGGCCCACACGACGATATATTGAACATTAAGAGCTGATCCAGATAGTTATACATACATGTAGAAACAAGGGTTCCCTCGAGCATATGAACCAAGAAGGCAAGGTTAAAAGGTTTTCTCGGTGTTCGACATAGTTGTGTGAATTAGAGTGATGTTGTTGGGCTCACTAATTTCCCATAGCTTAAGTAATTTTTATGAATAAGATATTTAACAAGGTTTCAAGACTTGTTTTATAATAGTGTTCATATCGATTATAGGAGGCTAATCAGAGACAAAAAAGATAACAAGATGAGCCCTTAAGCCAACTTGATACCTACATATAAAGAGGGTGGATTGTGAGATCCCACAACAACATTCTTTACAAGGGTGTAAAAATTTCTCTATGTGTTGTTGGCTATTACAATGTGCAAAGCCACGAGCACATGTCACCATACAACACACAATTATAACCATTTTGGTAAGGCCACTTACTTGGTTAGCCTAAGCCGAAGCTACTACGACCATTTGACGTTAGCTTAATGCTGGCCTCTAAATTTTAATTTTGCCTAAGAAGTCCAACAATCATAAATTAAAATTCTACTATGAAAATTAACTCAACTACTTTTGCATAAAATAATTTAAACTTATTCATAAGTATATAAACTAACTTAACCTACCTGTGCATTAATAATATAAACTCGATTCTAAAAATTTAACTAGCTAAAACGTAGTCATACTAATTTAAGCTTCTGAAAAATTGAAAGAAGAAAGGGTCCGAGCGTATCAAACCCAAGCCGGATCAGCCAAAATATTCACCTAGAGCCGTCAAAAAATGTATTCTTCGACTGACTTTAAACAGTTTAAGTGGGCTTATAAAATGAAGTGATGGTCCTCCCTTTTACAGTGGGACAATACCATTAATTCTCCTAATAATATCTTTTCATGATATGGGGTTACAACACTACGGACTTTAAAGATAATGTCTTAAAATTGGAAAGGTTTGAACTTTTATTATGCATAAAATTATGTAACCTAAACTCAATTGGCTTGATTAGGAGCTATGGATTTGCAATTTTCATAAAACCTTTTGCCCATTAGCTAAGTTTGTTAGAACGTTGCACTAATTAAGTGCGAAGGTTGCAGGTTTGCAACTTGGACGGATCAATTTCATTAATTTTCAATGACATTTTTAATGATACGGGGTTAAAGCACTACAAACTTTAAAAGATAATGACCTAAAATTTTAAATTTATTATGCATAATATTATGTAACTGAAACTTGATTGACTAGTTTAGGGGCTACTGCTCTGCAATGAGCATAAAACTTGTGGCCTATTAGCTTAGGTTGTTAGAACGTCGTGTTAATAACACGAAGGTTGGATGGGCTAATTTCATAATGCCTTAAAATTAGATAGTTTTAAGTTTTATTATGAATTAAATTATGTAACCTAAACTCGATTGGCTAGATTAGGAGCTACGGCAGGTTTGACACTTGCATGGTCAATTTCATTAATTCTCAATAATGATATATTTAATGATACTAGATTTAAAAGATAATCACTTATAGTTTTAAGTTTATTATGCATAAAATTATGTAAGCGAAACTCGATTGACTGGATGAGGAGCTACCGATCTACAATGTGTATAAACCTATGGCCTATTAGCTTAGTTGGTTAGAACGTCATGCTAATAATGTGAAGGTCGTTGGTTTGACACCTACATGGGCCAATTTCATTTCTTCTTAATAATATCTTTTTATGATACGGGGTTACAACACTACGAACTTTAAAGATAATGACTTGAAGTTTTAATTTTTTTATGCATAAAATTATGTAACCTAAATTCGATTGACTAAATTAGGAGCTATTGATCTACAATGTGCATAAAACCTATGGCCTATTAGCTCAGTTGGTTAGAGTGTTGTGCTAATTATGCAAAGGTCGCAGGTTCGACACTTGCATGGGCCAATTTCATCAATTTTTAATAATATCTTTTCATGATACGAGTTATAAAACACTACAAACTTTAAGTTTATTATACATAAAGTTATGTAAACGAAACTCAGTTGGTTACATAAAAATGATCTATAATGTACATATAATTTTATGACCTATTAGCTTTATGACCTATTAGCTTAGTTAGTTAGGTTGTCGTGCTAATAACTTGAAGGTTGTAGGTTTGACAATTACATAGGCCAAAATTTATTAATTCCTAATAATATATTTTCATGATACGGTGTTACAACAGTACGAACTTTAAAGAGGCTCGAAGCGTAGATCAAAATAACCCATTCTCCATTGTAGCATAACGAAAAATATTAAAATCGACATGCATCATAAATTCTTATCCTAGTGGTAGTTTGACAATTTTATATAACATACTTGCATTTTCATTTAGAAACGTCATTCCAAGGTCTTAAACATGCATATTCTAACTACCTAAGGTAAGATATGCTTGCATGCTTGCGATCCAGATAAGTATTACGTGAGAAAATTAATGATTGCAATCCAGACAAGTATTACTTGAGAAAATTATGATGGCTATGCATGTCTTCTCAAACTTTTTTATTATTATTATTGTTATTATTATTTTTTTTATTATTATTTTTTTTTTGTGTATGTTAAGAGCTCTAAAAATTTCGGAAATGTTTGTAGTAAGTCATAATTCAATTTATAATAGTGTCAGTATCAAAATGAGAGTGAAAAATAATTGAATGGAGGTCAAACATGACAAAAAAAAAAACTCATGCATTGCTCACGTGCACAGAAGGTCGTGCATGCACGAGTACATATGCACCTCTAGAGAAAACATGCATTGAACTCTTGAAAGGTGGTGCATTCTCATTGGCACGTAGGGATCAAATCGGGTCGGGGTTGTTGGATCATGTACATGGTTTCCAGGTATTATTCGAGTTGAATGCAAACGATCAGGATGCGGTCTCGGGTTCTCCTCATGGTTGTAGTGTGTCACAATCCTATATTTTTAATCGTACGACATAACGATCTCGACACACTCATGACAAGTATTTAGGTTTGCCCATGCATATTGAACACAACTTGTACAGAATCTAAGCTTGGTCGAACACACACGTCGCCCGTGTGTGCATGCTCAATCATCTGCGACCTTAACTAACTTGCTTCTATACTAGGTCAAGCCATGCAACACAACCTTGCCTCTACTCAGAGTAAAGGTCATTCATATGTGTTGTTGCATCTTGATTTTGCATCTTGGTTCCTGGCATGACCTTCATGTCATGATGTCATCCTAAGTCCCATGATGCCATCGACATCGTAGCTTACTCAAACATGTCAATCGATGCTGAAACCATGTTTCGCTCATATTGTCTAGGCCACTCAAATATCAATCCATCCAAGCTCTATTGAGGCATTGCACCCTCCCATATCCATGTCATATAATTTATTGACTTCATACCAAATAGCGTGTGCATATACAAACCTCCGACACATGGGTGAGGGCGCAGTGTCGGTACACTCATGTTGTCCAGCACTGTCCTTGAAAGACGTATTTTTAAGCAAGTCACTTAAGACATTAGTCTTGCAACGCTCCATCTCACTATGACACAAGTATATGCTACATGGTAGCTTGCTTAGGCCATATGGTTAGGGGTGGTAGAGAGCTGACACCATACCTTCCCCTAAAGTGCATTTTCAGGCCTTTTTTGTCGAGTAGGAATAAGCATGATTTTGACGAATAATCATATGGTCTCATGGAGCGCATGTCTAGTGTCCGATTTACACCCAAATTTGGTGATCTTTCATGTTTCATATGGAAAGATTTCATTCTAGACCCACATGCCCAAACTTCTTTTGGAACCCTCCCGGGGCCCTACCCGACAATTTATCAAACCTATCTTTTTTTCTCATGTCCACATCATTGCCTCTATTTTCATATGCCTCAATTTGGCTTTAATGAAGATCTCTTTAGTGTGTTAGATGATGCACCATCCTCCTCGGTCGACTCACGGCACTCATCTCTTGGCACTCTTGTGACTGGATGGTCACCATTTGAGGGTCACTGCTTCGTCTATCATTATATGAGGGTCAAAACCTACTCTTTTCGTAGTATTGTGAAATTCTCCTCCACTTAAACTAGTCATCATCCTTGATGACTTTCCCAGAGACACAATTGGTCCATGGATTGTGACTCTCTCTCTCACTTAATCTCAGTATCGTTGATGACGATCCAAACTTCGGATTGCCTGCGAACGAACCCGTTGGAAATAACATGCTTCAGAATGAATACGGAAACTACACACTACTTATGAACTATCCCACTTACGGATCTATTCTTGGTCTCCGAGTCTTGCAACATAAGCACGAACAAACAATTGTCTAATGGTTGTGGACTATCCCACCATGGCCTCCCTCGCCCTTCTCTCAAACTCTAACAAGGACTCACAAGAAAAACCATGATCAAAGTAGCTAGTGTTGGCATATCCTTACCTATGCTAGGAGCGCACCCTAGATATGGTCACCTTTGCCTCAACACTCACATTCTTTTAGTCACACAACGGTGCACCCTTGAGGTGAGGCTCACAAGAAAACCATGGCATGAACCCATATGGTAGCAAAGTTTAGAAGGTTGTAACACATTCCCATATTGGCACTACACTTCAACCAACTCCCACTAACCATCTTCATATGGCAATCGCTTCCTTGACACTTATTTGGTCTTCGTGCAGCTTCATTTATTGTAGAGTTTCTCGGAGACATTAAACTTAACTCATTCATGTGTGCTAATTTCGTTATGTTTAACTTCAAAATAGGTCCCAACCTTATGTGAAACTTTTTTTTTTCTGAGGAAAGTGAATGAATAATGAACAAGTAATAATAGTAAAATTCTCTTTCTCATAAAATTATTTTCTTAGAGAAAGAGAAGTAGCAAAACCACTTTACCATGGAAGAAGGAAAAGTCAAGCAGCTTCATCCCAAACATTCTCGAACTCTCATTCGGCTCATGAAATTTTTCACACCCAAATGTGGTTATAGTCATTACTTCAATAAAGTCATTTCGACACAAGCTCACAAAAACAATATTTAACACCTTCTGTAGCATTAGAGAAGGGAGGTTTCTCAGGGTCACCATGGATCCCACTCCTGAGCATAAGGGATACGAGGAAGGTGACCGGGCCTAGGAAATTAGGAAACTAAACTAAATAAGAACAGATAGTAGTGGCTCTCCACTCACTTTGCTTTTGCTATTAGCTCTAGCTTGTACTTTATAAGTATGAAAAGAAAATCGATTAACTTTGCTTAGCGGCTACTACTTTCTTTCTAGTAGTAGCTAAGCTTTTTTTTTTTTTTTTTTTCCAGAACCACATAGGTTTAGTTGGTACTCTCTTCTTGAGCGAATGCTGGTCTCGAGAACTCTTGTGAAGTTACCTACCTTAAGTATTATGCAGTCTCGTGAAGCGTCAGTCCGGTGTCCGATTGACACCAAATTTGGCAAGGTTTCATATTTCGTATGAACAGACTTCACTCTAAAGTTGCATGCACAAATTTCTTTAGGAAACCCGACTTTCAAGGTTAAGGTTGGGGGTGCTACTAGGCCTTTATATAGCCTATCTTTGTCCCTCATATTGACTTCGTTGCCTTGGTCTTGCTTATGCCCAAGCTTAGTTTCAAAGCACAACGGTTCAATATGTGTCTCCTCTTATTGAGTGGCACGTGTCCTCTGTCAGGCTTGATACACTACGCCTCCCTTGCACCTGATAAATGTCAATGTGACGATTCTTTTTCTCTTATCAATTTTTTATTTTCCTCACAATTTTACAAATTTTTCTATTGTCTTTAAATTTTTATATTTTCTTATACATCACTCGAATATACTTAGTTCCGTCACCAAATTTGTAATGTTTGAATCATCTTTCCAGTAAAAATTATTTTCATACAATTTCATTAACTACGAAGAGAAATAAACTCATTCAAAACTGCTTGGAGGATGATTTGACTGAGAAGAATGTGAGTCAGAGATGCAAGTCGGAACTAGAAGTTGCTAAACGTGTCGATTGAATATAACCATCTTAATGCCCCTAATTTTCATGTTTAATTAGAGATGTCACCACATGCATGCCTTTAATAGCATATGTGAAAATTTAAAATAAAATATTTTTAAACAAAGTCATGGATTTACAGGTTAATTTAAAAGCAAAAATTATAAATAACTTAATATTTGAATACGAAAATAAAAAAGCCACCTATCAACTACTAAATGAAAAGCCAATGCATACTACTACCCTATCTTGACTTCCATGGTCATTCCAGCATTCACTATCATTTGTGCAGAGACGTTTTACCTTTACCTGAAAAATAAGGGTAGATCGTGGCTAGAGTATTTTAAGAAATACTCAGTAAATCACTCCACTATTAGGATTAGTGATGC